CCCTCCCCCCCCCCCCCTGCCACTGCTTGTACGTCTCCGGCCTCTCCACCCGCTCCGCCCCCTCGCACGCTATCACGTTCATCGCCTCCCTCCCGTAGAACTCCCTCTCAAGCCTCATCCTCTCCCGATTCTCCCGCGGCAGCGTCGAATCGAACATGTCGAACAGCGCAGAGTAGTGGAACAGCGCCTGTTTGAATCTCGTCGTGAAGAACGGCGCGTTGAACGCTCCGTTTATGATCGAGTGGGTGAAGATGTCGGGGTTCATCCTGCGGATCAGCCTCAGAACGGCGTCTCTCGGGCAGTTCTCCTCGCCCGCTGTCTCGTCTTGAAGGTTCTTGAAACGGAGCCCGCAGTTGACCGCGAGAGTCTCGTTCGGCCGGAGCTTGAGGTCCTCGATCCGGATGGTGTCCCAGTTCTGTGATGCAATTGCGTTGAATTCGAACGGGACTCCAAACCGTTTGCAGTATTCCGCCAATCTCCTACCCGTCTCCTGTATTTTCTCTGCCGGGCGAAACCCGCCTTGGGGAAGCTCGATACCCGTAATCCGTAGCTTTGACGGTCCGCACTTTTTGTTCGTTATGTACTGGATGAACATCGGCCACTGGAAACCGTAAAGAATTCCGAAATCGACTATATGAAGAACCGGAACATCTTTGGCAACGTCTAAGATCATCCTGTTCGAGAAGAAATAGATCAACGTTATGAACGGACAAGCCGAGAGATAAACTCGGTACGCTTCGAGAATATCTGCAGCCGTCATCTTCTTCTTTGAGGCTAACGAACCGTAATACGTCGGGGTCACGGAGCTGGTGGTCCCGTGCAAGCGTGCCTCGAGTCCGTTGGCGAAGCAGTGAGCGAGCCTCTGAGATGAATCCCCGATAGCCGAAGATTTCTGCCTTATCTGCCGAAGTAAGTCCAGGCCCGACCCTTTATCACCCGCGGAAATGGTTTGAGCACATAGAAGAAGAAGCGTACGGAAATCCACCGTCTCGTTCCTCTTCTTCCTCCTCCCTTCTTTCTTACCCCGAGGCTTCTCCCCCCGCCCTCCTGACCCGTCTGAAGCCTTTTCACTCTCGATGACTGTCGGTGGATCGAATTTAGCGTCGAGGAGTAAAACCTTATCGAACATCTCCGTCACATTCCCGTCTTCTTCTACATTCGACGCCGATAACTTACAGCTCCTGCTTTCCTCCTCGAGATCCAATTCTTTCCACTCCTGAGTCTTCCTAACTCTCAATACATCCGAACCAGTCTCCTCCTTGACCCGAACCATTCCGAAGGCTCCTTCGTTTCTCTCCCTATCCCTCGCCGGGAACATTTTCTCGCTGCCGGGAAGAAACTTCTTAGCTTCTTCTAACCCTTTATTGAACTGCAGAACCGAATCCGCATCACTGAACATACTCCTCACCAGAATCTCATTCCCGATCAGCCCATCACCGAGCATGTTTGTTGATCCCGGAAACACTATACAGGACTCGAATTCGGAATCACCAGGACGATCACTGACCCCGACAGCATCTGCAGAACAACCTGCGTCGAAGCTGGAACTGCTGTCGCATCTCCACAAATCATCACTGCCCATCGAAGCTAGACTGCCGTGGGGAATAAAGGATTGAGCTCGTGAATCGCTGATCACTTGCTGCAGCATCTGTTCGGTTTGCTGTAAGGCCAAGGAATCGTAGAACATAGAAGGTTGATCTCCGATGCTCTCTTCCATGAGGATCTGGCTCACGTAATTCAGAAGGGCATTCGACGAGTCGGTCTCGTCGCCCGATGAAGGAGACCACTCATCCCGCGTCGGGACCCAAACGGAAGGTGTATCAGTGATGAAACTAGGGTATGGAATGAAATCAGATGAAGAAGGAACACCAAAACCCAGATCCGGAATCGGAGTTGGCGAAATTTTACCATTATAACAATCAAGACCCATAGTAAGAGCCGCTGAGAAGTTCGATTCCATCAGCACGAAACCCTAATCAAACCGGATTCCCTTCCGCCGCATAACCTATCATCGAAACAGCAAGAACCCTGAAGTCAGGGAAGAAACCACAATGGCAGAACAGAAGACAAGCGAAGGGTAAAAACCATAAACATAAAAAAAAAACAAAACAAAAAAAAAAAGTCTGCAACTTGATAACATATAAACAAAAGATGAGAACATAAGCCGTGAATCGAAACGCCCAGATAATAGGAACATCAAATTCGAGTCTTTTGCTTACCTCTGTCAAAAAAAAAGAAAGAAAAAAAAATGGAGAACTCCAATACGTCGAGGGAAAACAGTGAACTTTAGAATTTAGCCCCTGGAAACAAATAAAGCACTGAACTTTAGATCATTACAGATACATACAACATAAATATAAATATTGGCATGCATGTGTATATTTATTTATTTATTTATATGTGGATACGAAGCTAGAAGCGTATGCATGTGCAAGAAAATAGACGAGAGGGGAGACAACCTGGTCTTCGGGTCTCTCGACTTTCGAGCATCTTTATTGGGCCTGGGCCCAAATATTTGTTTATTTTCCACCTCTGCCCAGTGCCCACTACAATATCATTTTATAATAATAATAATAATAATAATAATAATAATATCCATTTCCTCCAATGAATGGTTCATATTCATATATTAAAGAACCTATTTTTTTTTTTTATAAAAAACCATCAATATTTGATTTCTATTGGATACTTCGAAATGTTTTCCAAGTATTTTTGTTACTAATCAATGATAAACACGTAAGTGATGGAACAAGAAAAAATTAATTGGGTCAATAATAATATTGATATTGGATATAGTATAAAAAATAAAAAATAAAAAAACGCAAAAGATAAAATATGTCAGAAAAGAAAAATAATATACAGTGAAATGGAAAGGAGATTCAATCAAAGAATTACAGTTATATATGAAAATTTTAATATCATTTGCAAAGCAGGTGGAATATTTGGACCCCACATGCTGTTTACAGAAAAATAAAATGAACACGTGTTTTTCCAGCTGGAGGGCAGAGCAAACACGGTGAGCGAGCATCATAGTACCATCGCTTTATTAATTATTGTTCTTTTTATATTCCCTCTGTTTCTAATTAAATATAGTTTTAAATTTTTTTCTCATTTTTTAAAGAAATGTAAAAAGTCATACATACTTTCATTAAACCACAATTTTCATTAATACCCTATTGAAATAATGTATTTAAATTAAAGATTAAATTAGAAATTTTCTTAAAAAAATCACCTAAATCTAAATATAAATCTGTTCTGCGACCAAAAATATCCTCTGCAACAGTAACATAAGGAGTATTTTGTTTTCCGACAAATCTCGATGACTTTGACTTTGCTTTAATTAAGGAACTAAGTTGCAATGCTGCCTTATTCCGTACCAGATTATTTATTATAGGGAATTTATTTTTAGCGCTAATTATAATAATAGCCTTAGTAATACAACGGGGGATTTCTAATGTTAAACAGTTATCACACAGACCTTATCACAAACCAGACTGTGTCCAAAAAGCCCTAACTCTGCACCAAATGAACGAATCTCTCACAAGTATCTGATGCTAGTCATTGTCTGAACGAAGCTGCCAACATAAACCCTAGAGAATCAATTTCTTGCGACGCAAGAAACCGTTTAAGCGGGAACCCAATCAGACGAAACATATACACGATTCTATTTCCACCCCACTGTATGTTTTCTTTCTTCATCTCCTTTCTCTTTTACATCAAATCAACACGAGGAACAGAACAAATGTATAGGAAGGACCAAAAAAGAAAGAAACCCAGATTCATCTCACGATGCCCATTTTTTCGGATCGCGAGGTTGTCTTAAAAGAATCCATGACTAGAGAACCAGCCTGGTCTCCAGCCTTTGTGTCGGAATCTGGTGATGATGATGATGATGAGGTTTCCCTTGTTGCTGAGACCAGTAGGCATGAGCCGTCAGTACTCTCTCTAAGAGCTCCTGTGGAACAGGATCTCCTCTCCTTTGCTGCGGCGATATTCTCGCAGTGTGAACCAGCGTCTTCCATTTGTCCTGCAAGTTTCAATAAGACAGATCATCGCCTTCGTACGTGTTATGGCATTCCGTTTTCGATCTGTAACTGGTGATGTCAGGGTTTTTTACCTTTAAATCCACGTATGTCCGGTGCTTTGCATTCTCAAAAGCTTGCAACTTCACATCGCGCCACCTGAAAAGATAGTTATGAAAACAATCAAATTCAGAACAAACCGGGGTGGTACTTTCACTGTGGTCATTTCTGATGTTTTTTGTCCTTTTACTTTTTAACCTCGTTACCTTCCAGTGCCAAGCTTCTCGACGGTCTGGACAAGGGCTTCTACTTCTGCAACAGAGAAGGGTCGACGGATTCTGCGCTGTGCCACCTCACACCGCTTTGGTTTCCGTGGCAGATTTACCGTTATGGTCTCAGCGTTCAGAGGCGGGACAGGAACCAAGGCTCTTGAGTTCTCCGACATTGCTTTGGGTGCAGATGGTCTGTGTTCATTACGGCTCCTGAGTGATGGGAACAAAGAGTTATCGTTTCTAGTTAAGAAAAGAAACATAAAGAGCAAAAATCCGTTGAAAAAAGCCGTCTTTATAAGTGAGGCTTACCTGGTCAGGGGTTGAGGAGGTGCATTACAAGGAAGCAGAAAGTTAGAATCTTCGGGACAAAAGGGTTTAGCGGATCGGGAAGGGTTAGGCTCAAGACAAAACCCTAAAGCATCTGAAAGACTGTCTAGAGAGACTCCGGTCTGAAGAAGCATTTTATTGTCATCTCTAACTCTCTTTC